CACACATGCACTACTGGCAGCACAATCCATGTTTCGATGTCAGAGTAAGCAGGAGTTGGCCATCATGGACATCTGGACCCTGAATTCCAGAACGGGGAGCCACCATCTCCTAGATGAAGCAAGTACACTTTCATCTATTGATAATGCAGCCCCCTTCACTCTGGCATTAGTCACACGCTTTTCCAAGGGTGTTGTTTCACCATGATGTTATTCTTCCCTACATCCTTGAGATAATCCCCGACAGCATTGAAATTTTTGTAGTATGCATAATTCATAGGGGCCTTTAAAGGCAGCTTCTAGGCAATACTAAAATATAAAGTAACAGCAGTAATTGATTACTTCGGCAACTCTCATTTAACAAAAATGAAAACAGCTTTGTCTTGTGGGTTGGTAGTTTGTTTTTGGTTTTTTTTGTATCTCTAGCAATAATGTTTGTGGTAGCTCTTTTGTTATGCAGACTACTGAATTAATTTTTTGGAGCTGCAGAGCCATAGGCTGTATTTTGAGGTGGATCCTGCACTAATAACAAAGTACAGTAAGCAGATGCAGCAATCTTGAAGACCTCTGTAGTATCCTTTGCTGATTCAAACAATGAAATAGACCACACCAAAAACCTACTCAGAACTTCTTTTTCTGGCTAACCAAGCTACTCATTTTTGAGTTATCAAAGAAAGATTCACAGACATCCATTTTGCTATCTGAGTACATTTTGCCAAGAGAAAAATCACTTGTCTGAGCTGGTGATCCCTTACACAGTTTTGGTGGCTTCTTTTCCCTTGGGGAAGGGGGTTTGTAATGAATGAGAAAATACTTGGTTTATAGTTGCATAGGCTAATGTGGAATAAAAGGTCTTGCTTATCCCACCTTCCTCCAAACTCAAAGTTAGTGCAGCTATATCCACGCTGACATTTAAAGGAAAACTGGAAAGGGCAGCATCAACACTGATTCATAATCAAGTGCTTCCTTCCAGAAGTTTCTATTATTTTGGTTGACTAGTTGATTAGTAAAATGAATCTGGATGTTAGCAATAAAAGGGCCCTTTTATTTATTTTATATAACTTGTTATTTGTGGTTTTTTTTTAAAGATGACAACACATTCTAGTTTGGATAGTCCAGTACTTGGGACACTTACTGTTTATAACTATGAACTTTGCTTTCATAAAATCATCAAATTTTGATTACTGTAATACAGCGTTGTGTTCAACTAGAGGAAAATTTCAAATGTACTTACCTCCTAGCTGAGTTTGAAACTGCAATAAAGCTGTAAGATCATTGAGCTCTTCTGTGAACACTCGTCTATACAACATGTAGCTAATTAAATTCAAGACCTACAAATATTTTAAGTTTCAAGAACACCTCTACAAAGTGAAAAATCTTCTACTGAAAATATTCCCTGTATATTCAAACTAACATTAAATCATTCACTTCTTACAGTACATTAAAATCACTTATACTTCTGATAGTGCTCTGCACTTCCTGGATATTTTTGAAGACATGATTGAATATGCAACCATCTCCAGTTGTAGTTTTAAAAAACAAGTTAAATTTTCAGCCTAAGTTTCACACACTTTAAATCCACCTTCTGAAAATGACAAAGGTTTACTTTAAAATTAGTATTTCACATAAAAAGGAGTAAACTACTAGCAAAAAAAAGGTAAGAAATGCCACTTTTATCAAAACATTTTAGCTCTGCCCTTCTGAAGTCTTTACAAGAGAGAAATACAGCTGCAATCTATAAGATTGCCACCTTTGTAAGTACTGTACATAGCAGAGGACAGTTACCCAATAACCAGAAAATTTGCTACAAAAATATATTATGTGTTTTGTAACATCTGCAGGTAAACAGCAAAAAAATGCTATTAAAAATGCAGTAAAATGCAGAAAAAACTAGTAGCCTACCATACTAACCATAACGTTACAATAAAGTGCTGTTTGGCTTTGTTTTTTGCCTGTTGAAGTTTCTCTTATCTAGAATTTTAGCTTTCTTCTTAAGTCTTTAAAGTAAGAGTTTTTTAAAGCCAAATCACCCCTTCTGGGAAGGACCACTGCTAATCTGCTCTGGATTAATTAAACTAAATTCACGGTAAATTAGAGTAAAATGCCCTAAAATGAGCCACTTAAATACAAAGTTTGGTTCTCAAACTTGTCCTACCTAGCATCAGCTCAAAAATCTAAAAATCACAGCCAGAAAATTACCAAGACATCCCTCCCCCCAGGTTGCATACTTACATTAAAAATGCATCTCTCTTTCATCATTTACTTCAGAACCCCTTTTGCATCTCATGGATTTTCCTCAGTCATCACTAGTGAATTAAAAGGAACCAGTATTTACATGGAAAGCTGTTTTCCTAGACAAATAGTGGTGCAATTTTTTTAAATAGCTGACAATACCGCATTAGTAGCATACAAACTGTTTTTATGATTCTTCTGACTTCCCTACAAGTTGGGATTCTTCCTTAGTCAGTATTTTGGCAAGGACTGCATCGTAGTAAGGGCTGAAGACCATTTTGTTGTAGTTGACAAGACGAACATACTTGACAGCAACCTCTTCCAGCTCTCTTTGAATAGGGCCTAATCCTCCAGGAATAGCAGGTGATGATTTCTGGTGACTAGACGCAAGATAATTCTCCAGAAACTTTTGAATTCGAGAATCTGGAAAAATTGGACCAAGGCTTTTGGTTTGTTTTCAGAAGAGATAGTCAATGAGAAATAGTGTAATCTCATGTAAAATATAGAAAACCTGAACATAGTAAACAAGTATTTGAAACAGATTAAATGAGAAACCATGCATGACATGCCACCAACAGTTTTACAGAGACAGATGAGTGGTCACTTGAGAGCAGAGCATTTTTGTCAAAGCGTACCTATTAGCTTGCATATGGTGTTATCCGGATTGGCCACTGCTTGGATTTGTCCTTTAAGTACAGTCTCTCTCTCAGCTGAGAATGGCGTAAACCCATGCTGGGAAAGGCAGCTGTTAACTTCTGCGCACACCTTTTCACCGATGGTAGCCAAAGAGTCCTTCAGGTTAAAGGAGCTAGAGAATGTGGAGTAGAGCATTTCTTAACTATAGTAGTTTTTCTACTTTTTCCCCACCTTTTAAAAATCAACTATCCAATTATAGTTGCCTTATTTATCAAATGTAATGGAAGAAGCATCATCCAGATATATAATAAAATGTATTATTCTTTATATTCTGTATATGAAAAATAAAGTTGAGATATAAAACAAGGAGGAAGGATAGCATTAAAGATTTGTATGGATTGTTCAGGCTGGAAATAAGAGCTGACTTTCTGCCTACACAGACAGCTCTGACTAATGCAAAAAACAGTTATGAACCCATAATGTGTACAGCAATAATTCTAAATCTGGAAGCAGCTAACTGTACCACACTCAAATTCTCGAGGGCACCTGGCCCAAACCGTAAGCACGGTTAGCTGCTTGCACTCTCATGTGCCGACTAGGCATCATGAAAAACATACTCTGAAAAAAGGAGCATGTACATATCAGAAAAGAACAGAGCAAGAAAAGACAGTTCTGTCTGAGTAAGCCGAACAAAAATGGTCAGCCTGGGCTCGTAACAAGCCTTCCTCTTCACTTCCTCGACATATTCTGCAGTCCACAGCCAGGAAGAGGCTTAAACTGATTATTTACTAGGGTGAAAACAGAACTACACCTGCCTCTGGGTGACTAGGACTATTCAATACTCACGGGAGATGCATCCCTGTCAGCAGCACCTTGACAATGGTTTTGATTTTCTCAGCAAATCCAGGCATATCAACGAGTGCCGAGCCTGCTGCGCTGAACGTGACCAGAAGGACTGTCCCAATCAAGAGGAGTTGCTCCAGCTCCAGCTGTATTTCCTGAAAGCGGGTCTGGTCCATTAGCACTGTCTGCAAAGAACGAGGAAGCCAGCACAGAACAAAGTCAGTATGCTGGGCTGCGAAGTGACATTGCGATGCCTGCCTACTCACAGCAATGAAGCTAAGACAAACACACAGAAAAGAGCAACATGGGCTCAGCAGGCAAGTATC